CTAAGTAACTAAGATTGGGAATTTGTAAAACATTTAGTTACTTTTGTACTTCATTATACTTATAATGGAAAGTTTTGTCCTATCCTACCCGTTCGGCTAACGACCCTCCACTAGTCAAGAGTGCGGTGGATAAGAGTGGATACCCATTCAATCGCCATTTTATAGGTAATTTCCTTAAACACCCCTTATAGACCAGCTTCGTGAATGAGGCCTACTAACGGTAAGACTGACTTTTACTCATACATATATATAATGTTAGACTTTTAAAGTTATATATAGTATACGGTTTATTTTACACTTTTAAAATGTTAGGTGGTAAAATATAACAATTATACTTTTAATTTTAAACCAAAACTTTTATGGTTTTATTAAACTTCTTTCAATTATACACCTTAATTAATTAATAAAACCATAAGGGTGTGATTTGAACTTTTCAAAATAATACTAGGGTTTTAGAATTTAACATTCCTAAATTAAACTTTTAATCAACTTTTAAATTCCAAAACTTGAGGGCAAATTTTGAAACTTTTCAAGATAATTATTAAATCATAAGGGATCATGAAGGATAATTATCAATTAAACAATTAATTTATCCTAATCCTTTTAATCCCTCTAAAATTCGAAAATCATGGGATAGGATAATTCAAAATCTTTAATTACCATATAGAATCATTAAAGGATAATTACAAGATATAGGATAATCCAAATCCCTAAAATTTAGGATCTTATCATGGGGAGGAGGCTAATTTCGAAAATCATAGGGTTTTGCAAACCCTAGATTTCGAAATCTTGAGGCTTACGGAAAGGATTTGAAAACCCTTTCAATTTTTCGCAAATTAGGGTATAGAAACCCTAATCTCGAAATTTTAAGCCTCCTAGGGTTTATTGGCTATAAACCCTAATATGTCAATTTCATACAATTGTATAATACTAATTGAAAACAATTTATCCTAAGGCTCTGATACCACTGATGGGTTTTATACAAACAATCCTATGTGTGCATGCAACCCTAGAATTAGATCTATGTTTTCACTATTAGATACACAACATTATGAACACTTGAAGAAACCTAAAAAGCTTCTAGGGAATTTCGAAATCCTCAAGGAAAGATGAAATACATACCTCTTGTTGTTATATTGTAATAACAACTTAAATCTTGAACCTTATTGTCTTTGAAAGCAAGTACCACAAGTGTAATACCTCTAATGGCTCACAAACACCAAGAGCAAATGGAGAGGTAATAGAGAGAGGGATGAGGTGTGAAATTCGTCCCTAGGAACCCTAGACAAGGCATGGACTCATTTATGAGCCTTAGGGGTCTTTATATAGGTGTATATATTAGGGTTTCAGTCCTTATCCTTATCTAGTTGCTTGCCCACCAAGTAACCATAAGATAAGCCTTGAAAACCCTTATCCTTATCCTTTGGACGATTTCAAGGATATCTTATCCCTTGAATTCGTCCAACCTATATCTAGGATAACCATTACCATATTTTGTAACTATCACATAATTACAATTCAGCCCCTCTAGTTTAATTAATTACACTTGATCACAAAATTAATTCCTAATTAATTATTGACCAATATTAATTAAACAATTATGATTTCTCCTTTAATATATTATTCTTATAACATATTAATAAATCATAATAACCTATTTCTCTATTATTTCTCCAGTCAAGTTGCTTTGGTGAAGGCAACCCAAAAGGACCATGCACAATCGGATCAAGTACTTGACAAATATGGTTACGGGCTTAGACACTAATCCAACAGGTTTTACCATGGAAAAATACTCCATCTTAATTCCACATAGGATATGATTGTGGTGTGGTAAAACCATGGGGTGGGAATGGTGGAGAAAAAACGAAGAAGAGCAAGACAGAAGAAAGATGGTAAGAGAAGAGAGTGAAGAGAGAAGACAGAGATGCAATCAAATTTAGCCACATACAATCAAACTGCAGTGAAAACCGCATGATAGGAACGCTGTTCTCTAATGCCACCGAAGGCAAACCACAAGAGAAACCACAACCACTTCCTTTATTCTACCAAGTTTAAGAACATAACACTCAATTAAAAGTATTTCATAGAGGTGATAAAATTGGGCCCACATGTTATTATGATCTTATTTGGTTTTTTACTAGTTTTTGTTATGCTTAATATTTTATATTTTAAAAAATAAAAATTCTTTTTAAGTAACATATAGAGTACGCAAAATCAATTTCATTCATATAGGTCAAATAGAATTATTATTAGAGTTAATGTGATAAATGAGTGTTAAAAGTATTTGGAAAGTTATAAAATAAAGTATTGTCCTTAAACTATATTATTAGAGTGTAAGTTCTTTAAAACATGTGTTCATTAAAAAAATAATAATAATAAGGTTTGAAAGAGTGGACTGCGGTTTCAAGCCGTACTCTTGCCATCTGGACCGTAAACACCGTCCACTGAGTGTAGTTTTCTGTGGTTTTGGCCGCAGTGTGGCTAGAAATTGTCACACTCTATTTCTTCTCTCTCTTATCTATGTGTATTTCTCTCTCTTCTCCTTTCTCTCAAGTCTCTCTTTCTCTATTATGGTTTTCATTCATTAGGTGTGGTAAAGAACCACACTTTGTGTGATAAAAATGATGTGGCTCCTATGTGTCAAAAGAGAGAGTGCGGTTTTTGTGGCACCACTCCCTCCAACCTAATAAAAATAATTGTTACCTCATAGAAGCCATTTTACCGGTTGATAGACGACATTAGCATCCACGTTGTCAAATTGACATCATTTTGATTTTGATTACGTATATTTAAATCAATATCTAGTTCTTTGTTATTATTAAAATTATCAAGTAATATATAAATATTTTTAATGTATTTTTGAAACTTCATATGTTAAATTGAAACACCATTAACCACCACGAGCTCAAAACAAATAGAAAGAGGGATACGATCATACGACGGCAGGAGATGGGTAGAAGGAGGAGGCGGCAGCGGCTTCGATCTTTGGGTAACTCCAAAGATGTGTGATTATTGTTTTTATTTCTTTTCCCAGTTTTTTAACTTCTGATCTTATTTCTCACAACTTTAAAGAGTACAATCCCTTTGATAAATGATAACTCATCCGTTATGATTAGTATTTATAGAAAAAATATATATTTTTTCAATAACTACCAATCCACCATCTATAAATTTGGTTTCCTTTTTTAACATTTTTTTTTTGTCAAGATAACAATATGGAATCTGTAAAGGTTATTACAGTTTTTGTGTTGTTTGAACTGATCGATCTGTTACATCAGAAAATATATCGGGTGTCCATATGAAATATATATAACATAATTTGTTAATAAAATTGCAAAGCAAAGCAAAAGGTGTCCATGGAGTCATGTAAGTAAAAGCTTATTAATCGGGTCAAAGTCAAACAATCTAAACCAACCATAATCCCCTTCCCTTTCCCTCCTCCTTCCTCCATTTCAATATTCATTCTGCACAACAACCAATTCATCCATGGACAGACATGGAAAATCAAGCAGCTTCATCGGAAGGCGTTGGAAAACTACCACCACCACGGATAGTCCCCGATCATCCTTTTCTTCTCCATTTTTACCTCGCAAATCCTCCCCTGTCCCTGTGCCTGATAATATTAATGCACAACTTTCCGATTCTAACGACGACCTGGATGAAGCTATACCTGACGTCGACCATGATCAAATCTTGCTCGAAATTGAACGTTTCACCGATGAATTATTCACGGCCGATGACAAGACCACCCCGCCGGAGCCGGACATCATAGACACCTTCTCCTTAATCATCAAGTCCAAAACCAGAAAATCAACCAGACGCCCGGGTAGGAACGGTGAGGTGACCGATGAAGACCCGTTTTTGTATGAATCTGTTAGGCTGTTATGTAAATTGAAAACTGCGTTAGGCGAATTTCCAAACACATCAATGGTTATGCTTGATAGAATCAACAAGCTTCTGCATCGAATTATCATGTTCATGGAAGAAGAGCTTCGTTCGTTTCTACAGCATTCAAAGGCAAAGCTTCCTCCGGAACCGAGCTTGAAGATGATGACTTCTTCTTCAAGGCACTTTTCCTTCAAACCAGACCGTTCCAATTCCAATTCCAATTCCAATTCCAGTTCCACCACCACAGCGAGTAAGGACGAGGATGATGATTTTCCAGGTTTCTCAGAGGAGAAGATAATTAGGATTACCAAAATCGTAACCACCATGATTTCCAGTGGATACAAAAACGAATGTTCACATGTTTATAGCATGGCGCGTGGAAATGCATTGTATGAGCAACTCAAAAAGAACGACTTCGAAAAGCTTAACGCAGAAGATGTTTCGAGATTAAATAGCTGGGAATTGCTTGAACCAGATGTGGCACGATGGATCGGCATCATAAAGCAATGCTCCGACGTCCTAATACCGGCGGAACGGAAGTTAGGCGAGACGGTTTTTGCCGACAATATTTCGGTTTTCAGAGGTCTATTCATCAATCTGGTTCATAGCCTCATCACGTCGTTACTTGATTACGCGAGAGCGGTTGCGAAAACGAAGGCGTCGGTGGAGAAGCTGTTCAGATTCCTTGATATGTATGAGGCGCTTTCCGGTCTTCGTGAAGCAATAACGAACAACGACAACGACGAATTCTTGTCGGATTCACAATCACGTAATGATCTAAATACGGAAATATCATCATCCATCGACCGAATCGGCGGAGCAGCGGTGAACACGCTTGGTGAATTAGAAAGCTCCATTCGAAACGACCCGGCGAAAACTCCAGTGCCGGGAGGTGCAATACACCCTCTGTCAAGCTACGTCTTGAACTACTTGAAATTGGCGTGTGCGTATGGAAATTGTTTAGAACAGATCTTCCAAAATGCA